ACCTAGCATTGGTTGCAAATGTTTTTGCCACCAGATTTTACTCTACACCCATTGACTCTGATTTGGCATAATGATGATACCACATTTGGAGCATGCTGAGGGAACCATAACCCCTTCCCTCTCAAGAAAGCCAACATAGCAGCCCATGGGCTCCTGTTTGCATTTGCCATTAAGGACACTGTAATTGGTGTTTAATGCAGAAAGGAAAGCTACCTCAAATCCATTTTAGACATAGATGGGTATTATCAGTACGGTCCTGGCAAGAAAAACAGCATACTCAAATGAAGTATTCAAGAAAACTTAATGAAGGAACCATTTCAAAAGGTACAGGTAGGGTTTAGGGAAAACAGCAAAAGATGGTGGTATATCTTCAGGTTAGCCACATCAGGAAGCCATTATCATCTCCAGGTCTAAATGGGCTAGGGAAGGGTTATCAGAACCCAGAAAGATGTGTAACTATAGGTGTCTGGCAGAGGGCCATTATTGAATACGAGTTGTGAACAGCTTTGGCAACACCAAATCCAGCAAGAGGGAACTAGCTCTTAGGGAGATCCTTTCTGATGTCCCTCACACTGGGCAAAGCTAATCTGAAACCAAAAAGGAAGCGATCAGTTGATGTAGTCCATGGAATTCATTTCCCAGAGCCACAGAGCAGAGTGGAGAAAAGATTTGGAAGGGCAAATGGAACACACGCAGCACAGAAAGATATTCTAAATGATTGTCAAACAGCAAAACACAGGTACATGGAATCAAAGTTTTGTCAGTTCCATCTAAATTTAGATACTGTGGGGCTGCCTGCAAATAAGTCATAAACACTGGTACTTACTTGGGTTCCTACCGCCCTGTATCAAGTTGGAAAAGGGAAAAAAAAAGAAGCTACAAGTAATTCCAGGTAACTTCTGACCTTTCTGCATCTCTAAGAGTAAACAGACAAGTCATTTATTTACAGTGAAGCAGATGTTAGACAAGGCCCTTCTCTTTGCTCAAAGGGAACATATTCCAAACGTCCATTATCATACTTATCATGATGTATTATAACCTCTTTTTTATTTCTTCCTCATTGGACTCTGAGCTCTTTAGGGCAGGGATTATCTTATTCATCTTTGTATCCCTAGAACCCTAACATCGTACTGGCCACAAAGCTAGCCTTCAATCAATATGCACTGAACAAATTAATGGACTCAGTGTCCATTAATTGGCAGCCTAATGCCATAGTGGCTAAAATCTGAAATGACCCTTAGCAATTAAACACTAATAAGTTGTATTCATGATATGGTTTAATACACTGGGCTAAAACATCGCCCCTTTCATACCAGCCTACCACCATTCTCTGTAGAGCTTTTCTCATGCACTCAGATAATGTATACGGCCTGTTCTACAGTCACAGAACACATCATAAAAAGAAACAAAGACAGATGGCAAGACTATGTTCCATTTCAGAAAGGAATCACATACACATTATCTCTCAAAATTCTCATTCTTTTTTCCAAGAATTTACCGGATCCACTTGAGGAACTAACACACATTACTTCTCAAAATTCTCATTCTTTTTCCAAGAATTTATCAGATCCACTTAAGGAACTAATAATTTGAACATGTATATAGAGGAAATCGTGTTTCACATTGATGATAAAGATGATATAGGGACAGAAACATATATATACACACACACACACGCACACACAAGGCATGTTCAATGATCACTTCAACACATCACTCTTAGTAAAATTATAAAGTAGTTGTATAACAGGTTCACGTAACATCATCATATTAAAATGGCTATACTGTATGATGTTGAGGTGGTCATTAACAGAATCTGGAATGTATTCACATTATAATTATGAACCACTTTCACATAACCCTGTACTTACGAAGTGCTTAATCATCTTTCTGTTCTAACAGTCAATTCTTACCTGTAGATTCTCCACAGAAAAAGGAAATTTATGCCAGGTTGAAACCCCTCTTCAAGCTACCATGATTTTAGGCTACCAATCTCCTGCTGTCAGTAAAATGAATCCAAATCAAATTTAATATAACAGACTCCACCAGAAAGGTGCACTTGCTATATAACATGTGTCTTCCAAAAGTAAGTGTGAAAAAGTTTTGTATCTCCTGCACCACTGTTCTCCTTCACTGCTGTTTGTAATGGACAGCTAATGTTGTTAAATGCAATCTTACATTTTTAAAAGTCAGTAAAATCGGCCACTTTCTATTTAGGAAAAGGGAATTCTGAGCTTATATTGGTAATATACTGAATTACTTTAAAAGAAATGCCAGTAATACAAAAACATAATGTTGTAAATAGATCAAATGCCTTTTCCTAAAATAAATAAGTCCTCAAAGCAAGCTTTCCAAAACCACCAAAAACACAATTTTATCTTACTGAGAGTCATCCTACTCCTGCAACTGTCAGGTCAACTTAGCAACGAAATTAACCTTTATAGGATAATTATGTGATGTTTGTATCATGTTAAAACTACAGGCTACAACAACCCATAATTTATAAAATTGTACTTCATGTCAGTTCCTCCGTTATATGTGATTTTTTTTTTAATTGCAGATCTACTATATGGCTTTGTGTTTAATACCATTAGCTTAACCTACCTCAGAGCAGTATTATGTTTCACCCATCCTAATCAGTGTTTGACCCATAGAAAAAAACATTATGTTATTTTACAAATTGATCGAACTCCCACAGTAGGAAAAGAGGAAGATGATATGTAATTCTGATAGTGCACAATATGTGGCAATGATACCCATAGAAAAAAAACATTATGTTGTTTTACAAATTGATCGAAAAGAGGAAGATGATATGTAATTCTGATACTGCACAACATGTGGCAATAATAGGCTAATATTCAATACATTAGAAATACACTGATTTTTTTCTGATCGAACATTTTCCTCTCCTTTCACTAAAATATAAACAAAGTTTAACAAAGTTCCAATGACATCAAGTATAAGTTAAAATATATTTTTAAATTTAACATTTCTATGAAAGGTAATTTTCTGTTGCAAATAAATTTGAATATATTTAATTATTAAGTCCCGACATCTGAAAGGACTGTGTTTTTATAAAGACAGTGTTCAGCTGAGCGCGGTGGTTCACGCCTGTAACCCCAGCACTTTGGGAGGCTGAGGCGCGTGGATCACGAGGTCAGGAGTTCAAGGCCAGCCTGGCCAAGATGGTGAAACCCCGTCTCTACTAAAAATACAAAAGTTAGCCAGGCATGGTGGTGGGTGTCTGTAATCCCAGCTGCTCAGGAGGAGGCAGAGAACTGCTTGAACCCAGAAGGCGGAGGTTGCAGTGAGCCAAGATCCCGCCACCGCACTCCAGCCCGGGGGGACAAACAGAGTTGGAAAAAAAAAAAAAAAAAAAGGCAGTGTTCCAAACTTTTGTTCCCCTTTCCTAAACTTAATTCCTAAAACTCACTGTGGACCTAAACAGGAAGCGTCTTGGTAAACAACGATGCTTCATATTAATAGGTAACAAAATAGAGTTTTAGGGCCCAGTGCGGTGGCTCACACCTGTAATCCCGACACTTTGGGAGGCTGAGGCAGGCGGATCACCTGAGGTCAGGAGTTCGAGATCAGCCTGACCAACATGGAGAAAACCCTGTCTCTACTAAAAACAGAAAAATTAGCCGGGCGTGGTGGCGGGTGCCTGCAATCCCAGCTACTAGAGAGGCCAAGGCAGGATAATCACTTGAACCCAGGAGGCAGAGGTTGCAAGTGAGCCGAGATCGCGCCACTGCACTCCAGCCTGGATGACAAAGCAAGATTGTCTCAAAAAAAAAAAAAAAAAAAAAAAACAACAACCACCCACACACACACACAAAATGGAATTTTTCCTTACAACAACAAAACCAGGTAACAGAATTTATAAGAATTCCACAAGATTGCAAGGGCCTAAATAATCCGGTTGGAAACTGGAGAGTGTAATAACCAGGGACTACTGGATTAAAACCGAGGGAATCTCCTGTCACTGAGAAACCATTATGCAGACTTTCATCTAGGAGGCTAAAGCCACAGATCTCCCACCCTGAGAACTTGCCAATACTACTACTATTCTGATTACTTCAACATAAGTAGGACTATCTAAACCTCCAGCAGCTCTTGCTTTGTTTTTGTTTTTTCCATCACATATAAATAGTTCACAGCATAAGTGCCTTATACAATACACAAAAGGTGAAAGCTACTCCTTCCAACGCCCATCCCTTATCCAAATAATTCCAATTCTTTCTCTTCAAAACAAAGGAGTAACTGGCAACCAGAAGCCTCAGAACTGAACTCTTCCAATCAGTAAGACAATGCGAAATCTGCTGCAGCCAAAGAATGTCTACTGCTCCTTGCGGGACTGTCACAAGAGATGGAAAGCTACACCATGGCAAGGTATGTGCAGACAAGGAAACAGTAGGTCTGGGGTACCGCGCCCTCCCCCACCCCCAAAGCCTCTTCAGACCTATACGCAAAAACTTTGTGTGCTCATCCCTACTTGCAACCTGACAATTTACAACCTAGCAACACCTTCTAATTAGGAAGGTTCTAGCCTTTTATAGCCGAAATATTAAACTTCTCACGATATATCAGGCACTGGCGCCTGCTACTGAGAATCCCCTGTGCATCAAATCTCCAGTTTCGTTACTGAGACGGGCCAGTGACCAGGCTTCTCTACAGTACAGAGGGGAGGAGCCCACCCTGCTCTGCTAGAGTGGAACTGAAAACAGAGAACAGGAGCAAGGCATGGAGCGCAAAGGCGTGAACAGCGTCCAAGCAGGGGTGGGCTCAGCGCACCGGCGGGCTACAGACAGCGGCGGGCACGCGGGAGCCGGGGTGCAGGCTGCAAAGCGGGGTCCCTCGGCTGCAGAAGCCGCCCCCCGTGTGTCGCCCCGCAGCGGCGCACGCGTCAGGCAACACACCCCAGCTGCCCGTGGCAGCTCTGCGCTAAAGCCCTCCCGGGACGGGCGCACACGCCCCTCGGGCCGGCGGCGCGTACGTACCCAGCAACACGCAGAGCACATCGAGGGCCACGTACGGCAGCCGCGTCTTGTCAAACATGGTCTCTGCCCGGGCTGCCCAGCAAGGGCGATGGACTGAGCTGCGGGACAGCGGCCGAGGCCCTCGATTATCGAGCCCAGGCCCGGGGCTGGCGACGGCCCCGAGCTACGGCCCCTCCCAGCCGGAGGAGGAGTGCAGCCGAGGGCGGGATGAGACCTGGCGGCGCTCCCACCGCCAGCAATGGCGCCCGGGGCCCTCCCCTCACAGCCCCCGCGAACACTCGGTTAGTGCCGAGGCGCTCGTGTGCCAGCCGCTGCAGCTCGGTAGCCTCAGGACCTCCTCGGCCGGCCCCGGCCTGCCCCGGTTACTCCCCGTCCGGATCCCGGCGCCCTCTCCCACAGGCGGGGCGTCCAGACTCGCGCTTTAAGGATGGGGACCGGTAGGGAGGAGGAACGCAGGGTCCAGCCTCTCCCGCCGGGCAGCGCAGGACCGGACAGCGCGCGGCCTCGCGGGCAAGGGGAGCGCAGCAGGGGCGGGGCCGGGGAACCCCAGGCCGCGGCGGTCAGCCAATCAGCGCCGTCAGCCTCGTCCCTCCCGACCTGCGGCATCCGCCCAGAAGTGCGGCTGCCGGCAGCCGGGCGGGGCGTGAGGCTAGCTCCCGTTCCGATCCAGGGGGCTTTGCTCTGGACCGCAATTACTCAGGTGGTCTCCGAACTCGGCCTCCGTACCCCCACTAGGCATTGCTGCTTTCAGAGAGCTAGGCTCCCTACCCAACGATCCTGGAGCACCGGCTGCCTGCCACTCCCCACCCCTTCCATGGGAATCTGGTAATAAAGAGGTCAGATTGTTACCACTGAGTTTAAGGGGGGAAACGAGGTCAGAGTAGGCAGGAACAGAGATGCTCTTCTTTAGCTTGGTACTTCTGAGCCCTTTCTCACTTAGGCCTCAACGTTGACCTCCGTGTCCTGGCTGGGCCCAAATGTTAGCAAGAAGCGTGCTAAATCATCCATCCTCGATACCTGATCACCCTTGAATTCTTGATATTTAATAATGGATTAGATTCTTTATATTACACCTTTGTTGTAGAAGCCCTTGACCTGCCTTTAGCCAGAATCCCCCTACCCTTGATGTCTCCTGTTAGTAATTTTCCATCCACCGTCACCTCCCTCACAGACACGGTGCTTGTTCCTTGGCTATAAATCCCTTGCTGTCTTTGCTGTATTCTGAGTTGAGCTCAATTTCTCTCTCCTGTTCCAATAGTCATGACCCTTATTGCAGTAATCTTGAATAAATTATTCATTGTGTTTAACAAGTGTCTGGGATAATTTTCTTTAACAACAGCAAGCATTCCCCCTGGCCCATTCCCAGGAGGACCCTAGCCCACATTTGGTAATCTGTTTCCTAATCTGTAAAATGGGGATGTTCTTTGAATAAATACCTAATACTCAGACATCACAAGTACTTTCAATTTATTGTGATGTTACAGTCTGAGGCCCTTGTAACTCTGGAAGTAAAGAAAGCCACATGATAAACAATGGCACATCTTTCTCAGGTGTAAATTGCTTGAAGCTTTTACAACTTTAAGCTACCCAGTGGTCCAGTCTTGAGGAAGAAGTGAAGCCCAGAAAAGATTATATGAAAGTGGCTTTATCGCCGGGCGCGGTGGCTCAAGCCTGTAATCCCAGCACTTTGGGAGGCCGAGACGGGCGGATCACGAGGTCGGGAGATCAAGACCATCCTGGCTAACACGGTGAAACCCCGTCTCTACTAAAAAATACAAAAAACTAGCCGGGTGAGGTGGCGGGCGCCTGTAGTCCCAGCTACTCGGGAGGCTGAGGCAGGAGAATGGTGTAAACCCAGGAGGCGGAGCTTGCAGTGAGCTGAGATCCGGCCACTGCACTCCAGCCTGGGTGACAGAGCGAGACTCCGTCTCAAAAAAAAAAAAAAAAAAGAAAGTGGCTTTATCTAGAGTTGAAACCTTTACAGATGTTAATGATTGGTATATTTTCTCCTTAAATACGTAAAACACAAATCACCAAATGTACCTACTACTTCTTGGACTTTTCCTGCAAAGCACTCATAAAGCCAATGGAAAGATAACATTAAACACAGAGTCTGAAGATATAGCCCCAAGTAAGCTCTTAAAAACAAAAAATACATTTGAAGAAAGATGTTTTTCTTTAAAACGAATATGAATGTTTTATTTTGCCTCTCGTTTAAATAGCTGTAAAAGCTTTAAGCAATTTACACCTGAAAAAGATGTGCCTTTGTTTATCATGTGGCTTTCTTTTTTTTTTATTTATTTATTATTATTATTATACTTTAAGTTCTAGGGTACATGTGCATAACGTGCAGGTTTGTTACATATGTATACTTGTGCCATGTTGGTGTGCTGCACCCATCAACTCGTCAGCACCCCTCAACTCGTCATTTACATCAGGTATAACTCCCAATGCAATCCCCCCCTCCCCCCTCCCCATGATAGGCCCCGGTGTGTGATGTTCCCCTTCCCGAGTCCAAGTGATCTCACTGTTCAGTTCCCACCTATGAGTGAGAACATGTGGTGTTTGGTTTTCTGTTCTTGTGATAGTTTGCTAAGAATGATGGTTTCCAGCTGCATCCATGTCCCTACAAAGGACACAAACTCATCCTTTTTTATGGCTGCATAGTACTCCATGGTGTATATGTGCCACATTTTCTTAATCCAGTCTGTCACTGATGGACATTTGGGTTGATTCCAAGTCATGTCTAAAACACCAAAAGCAACGGCAGCAAAAGCCAAAATTGACAAATGGGGTCTAATTAAACTAAAGAGCTTCTGCACAGCAGAAGAAACTACCATCAGAGTGAACAGGCAATCTACTGAATGGGAGAAAATTTTTGCAATCTACTCATCTGACAAAGGGCTAATATCCAGAACCTACAAAGAACTCAAACAAATTTACAAGAAAAAATCAAACAACCCCATCAAAAAGTGGGCAAGGCATATGAACAGACATTTCTCAAAAGAAGACATGCATACAGCCAACAGACACATGAAAAAATGCTCATCATCACTGGCCATCAGAGAAATGCAAATCAAAACCACAATGAGATACCATCTCACACCAGTTAGAATGGCAATCATTAAAAAGTCAGGAAACAACAGGTGCTGGAGAGGATGTGGAGAAATAGGAACACTTTTACACTGTTGGTGGGATTGTAAACTAGTTCAACCATTATGGAAAACAGTATGGCGATTCCTCAAGGATCTAGAACTAGATGTACCATATGACCCAGCCATCCCATTACTGGGTATATACCCAAAGGATTATAAATCATGCTGCTATAAAGACACATGCACACGTATGTTTATTGCGGCACTATTCATGTGGCTTTCTTTACTTCCAGAGTTACAAGGGCCTCAGATTGCAAGGTCACAATAAATTGAAAGTACTTGCATGTCTGAGTATTAGGTATTTATTCAAAAAACATTTATTGAGCACCTATTCTGTTACAGTCTAGGCTCAGTGTCTTAAAGAGCTTTTGAAATAAACGTTTACTTTTTAAAAGTAATTTTTAAAAACTTTTTTTTTTTTTTTGAGACGGAGTCTCACGCTGTTGCCCAGGCTGGAGTGCAGTGGCGCGATCTCGGCTCACTGCAAGCTCCGCCTCCCGGGTTCCCGCCATTCTCCTGCCTCAGCCTCCTGAGTAGCTGGGACTACAGGCGCCCGCCACCGCGCCCGGCTAATTTTTTGTATTTTTAGTAGAGACGGGGTTTCACTGTGGTCTCGATCTCCTGACCTTGTGATCCGCCCGCCTCGGCCTCCCAAAGTGCTGGGATTACAGGCTTGAGCCACCGCGCCCGGCCAAAAAAAACATTTATTTTTTAAAAATTTTTTATTTTTACTTTTTGTGGGTACATAATAGGTGTATATATTTTGGGGTACATGAGATGTTTTGATACAGGCATGCAATGTGTAATAATTACATCATGGAAAATGAGATATCCATCCTCTCAAGCATTTATCCTTTGTATTACAAACAATTCAATTATACTTTTAGTTATTATTATTATTATTAATATTTTTTTTTTTTGAGACGGAGTCTAGCTCTGTCGCCCAGGCTGGAGTGCAGTGGCCGGATCTCAGCTCACTGCAAGCTCCGCCTCCTGGGTTTACACCATTCTCCTGCCTCAGCCTCCCGAGTAGCTGGGACTACAGGCGCCCGCCACCTCACCCGGCTAGTTTTTTGTATTTTTTAGTAGAGACGGGGTTTCACCGTGTTAGCCAGGATGGTCTTGATCTCCTGACCTCGTGATCCGCCCGTCTCGGCCTCCCAAAGTGCTGGGATTACAGGCTTGAGCCACCGCGCCCGGCTATACTTTTAGTTTTAAAGTGTACAATTTAATTATTGACTACAGTGACCCTGTTGTACTATCAAGTACTAGATCTTATTCTTTCTATTTAAAAAAAATAAACATTTACTCTTAAAGTGCATTTTCAAAAATAAGCATTCAAAAAAAATTACTGATTAGTGATTTTTTGTTTATTCACACATTCATTAATTTGACATTTATTGAGCCCCTAGTGGATACCTGGTACACATCTGTGAAGAAGCTAAAATAAACAAGAGAAGTTCTCTGCCCACAAGCGGAAGCCTGAGGCCTACTTAGAAAGCATGTGATTAGGGCCAGATGCGGTGGCTCAAGCCTGTAATCCCAGCACTTTTGGAGGCCAAGGCGGGCGGATCATGAGGTCAGGAGATCAAGACCATCCTGGCTACCACGGTAAAACCCCATCTTTACTAAAAATACAAAAAAAAATAGAAAATTAACCAGGTGTGGTGGCGGGTGCCTGTAGTCCCAGCTACTGGGGAGGCTGAGGCAATAGAATAGCTTGAACCCGGGAGGTGGAGGTTGCAGTGAAAAAACCTGAGCCACTGTCCTCCAGCCCCTAGGCAATAAGAATGAGACTCCAACGCAGAAAAAAAAAAAGAAAAAAAAGTAGGCTGGGCATGGTGGCTCACGCCTGTAATTCCAGCACTTTGGGAGGCTGAGGTGGGTGGATTACGAGGTCAAGAGATCAAGACCATCCTGGCCAACGTGGTGAAACTCCTTCTCTACTAAAAATACAAAAATTAGCTGAGCATGGTGGCATGTGCCTGTAGTCCCAGCTACATGGAAGCTGAGACAAGAGAATCACTTGAACCCAGGAAGCAGAGGTTGCAGTGAGCCAGGATCAGCACTCTAGCCAGCCTGGCAACAGAGCTAGACTCTGTCTCAAATAAATAAATAATTAATTAATTATAAGCAATTAATAAGGCCAGGCATGTGGCTCACTCCTGTAATCCTAGCAATATTTGGGAGGCTGAGGCGGTTGGATCACTTGAGGTTCGGAGTTTGAAACCAGCCTGGCCAACATGATGAAACCCTGTCTCTACAAAAAACACCAAAAAGTAGGCTGGGCGCGGTGGGTCACGCCTGCAATCCTAGCACTTTGGGAGGCCGAGGTGGGCAGATCACCTGAGGTGGCAGTTCGAGACCAGCCTGACCAACATGGAGAAACTCTGTCTCTAATAAAAATATAA